CCTGCCACGACTCGGAGGGACCCCCGAGGACACCGGGCTCAGTGAGAGGAGCCGGACCCAGAAGGACACATCCCGCAGGAGGACCCCACTCCCAGGAGGTCCCCAGAGGAGTCCCGTCCACACAGACAGAGAGGAGAGGGTGGGAGCCGGGGCGGGGGCAGGGGGTGGGGACAGAGTCTCCGTGTGGGGAGACGGAACGTTCTGGAGACGGAGGGTGGGGGTGGCTGCAGGACCGAGTGAGCGGGCTTCGTGCCGCGGAGCTGTGCGCTTAGAGACGGTTACGATGGTAAATCTTTATGTTTTGTCACAATAAAAAACCAAACATATATATGGTATGAAAAAAATTAATTAAAACGGGACACTAGAAAATACTCATTTAATGCAAAAACATCAACAGAAGCATACAGAAACAAGAACACACACAGAAACACAGAAAACCGGTGAAACGGCAGTGGGAACCCCGAGCGTAAGGGTAACCGCGCTGAACGGCAGGACGGAAGAGGCATTGGGAGGTGAGTCCCCGTTAGAGGGAGCAAGCATGCAAAGACCCTGCGGGAGGGGAGGAATGAGCAGGTGCCTCCGCCCCACCCAGCTGAGTGCTGGGCCGGTGGGACCAGCAGCCCCTGAGCCTCCAGACCCTTCCTCCAGATTGCTGGCGGTGGGGGGGGGGGGATTGGTTTAGACCCGTGGCTTTGTGGGGAGCTGGGGCTGGCCTGGAGGGAACAGGAAGTCTGGAAGGAAGCGCGGCCTCCGCAGCCATTTCCACAATCCTGTGGGTAGAGCCCGTTAAACTGTACCCAAGAAGGGGACGTCCCTCCCGGCCCCTGGTGGAGCACAAGCACAGGTTTGGGGGCCTCAGGATGTGTCCTTCGGGACGCGGGGGGGCTTGCCAAGGCTCACCAGAGCAAGGTGTGGTCCCAGGAGCCCCTGGCCGGCTGGAAATCCCTGCCTCGTTTGCATAATGCCCTTTTGCCAGGTAACCTTAATTTTGCACAGAATTAATTTCACAAAAGAAAGGAGCTAAGGTTTCACACCGTGATGACACGCAGTATGGATGGAGGGCGCCGGCCTGAAGTGCCTTCTGTAAACCCGGGTGGTGCGTGGCGGGGTGCTGCCTCACAGGGGCATTTTGAGCACTGCAGGGGAGGCGCCCCTTCTCTCGGCCTTTGAGCTAAACCCACCTTCCCTGCCCCACAACGTGAGCTGGGCCGTGGGTGCGGATGGGGGTTTCTGGCTGTTTTGTCCATTGCTTTATTTCAGGCTGGTACATTGGAGGCATCCGGTGCATTTTGGATGAATCTGTTCTTTTTACATTTTTAAAAAATTTGTATTTATTTGAGAGAGAGAGACAGCAAGAGAGGGAACACAAGCAGGGGAAGCGGGAGAGGGAGAAGCAGGCTTCCTGCGGAGCAGGGAGCCTGACGCGGGGCTCGATCCCAGGACCCCGGAATCATGACCTGAGCCGAAGGCAGAGGCTTCACCAACTAAGCCCCCTGGCGCCCATCCCTGTTCTTTTTACGTTTTTAAAATCTTGACGGTGGTCTTTAGAATGATGTAATTACGGCCTCCAAAGACTGGGAACCAGGATGTGTCCCCGCGACCTTGTCAGGGCCCCCGAGGGGGTGGCCCTGGGTTCCCGGGGGGCCCGGCGTCCTCACGAGGGGGAGGCAGAGGGTGGGAGTCCCAGAGATGGGCAGACCCCGCGCTGCTGGCGGTGAGGATGGGGGGGGCCGCGGGTCAGGGAAAGGCCGGAGCCGGGTCTCCCGGGGGGACCAGCCCCACCCGTGCTGGGGTTTTAGGACTTTTTTTTTTTTTGAAGATTTTATTTATTTATTTGACAGAGAGAGAGAGAGAGAGAGCAGGAACACAGCAGGGGGAGAGGGAGAGGGAGAAGCAGGCCTCCCCGCTGACAGGGAGCCCGACGCGGGGCTCGATCCCAGGACCCTGGGATCACGACCTGAGCCGAAGGCAGACGCTTAACGACTGAGCCGCCCAGGTGCCCCGGGGTTTTAGGACTTCTGAGCCCAGAACTGTCAGGACATGAGTGTGGGCGGTTTAAGCCCTAAGTTGGTGGCGGTTTGTGACAGCAGCCCTCAGGCCCCCACACGCTAGAACACGGGAGGACTCACCCACTTTGTTCCTAATTCCCAGGGCCAGCCTCCCCCGGACCCAGGAGTCCCTCCCACTCTTACAGAGAGGCCAGGCCAGAGCCAAAGAAGTCCTGTGTACAAATGAGCTCGGACTCCCCTCCATGGTCACTGACGGTCACAGCCCCTTCTACCCGGGGAGAGGGGCAGTCAGGAACATGGACGGGAACGGAATACCCAGAAATGTCCAGGGCTGGAAAGGCCTGGCAGACACTTTGCCAGACAGGCCCTGTGTGCTAGGCAGGGGAGTGGCCGCTGTGGGAGGCTGGAGCTCATCCCACCCCACCTCCTGCCCCCGGCTGGGGGTCCCAGCTAGGATGGCCAGGCCCCACCAGGTGCCCCTGGGGCATCTCCCTTCAGCTCTAGGGGCTCAGGCCACCATGCTGCCTCCTGCCGGCCCTCAGCTGGGTGCCCCGACGCCCACACCATCCACGTCAACAGCCTAGTCTGCGGAAAGGTGAGTGGCCTACCCAAGGCCACAACCCAGGCGTCACTCCCATGGGAATGGGGAGGCCTGGCCGGTCCCTGCTCAGATCTGTCCGGGCACCTTTTCCTTGGCACCCAGCGAGTGGCCTGAGCCCTGGAACCTGGGCCCCCTCACACTGGATCTGCAGCTCTCACCAGGCCCCCGAGCCCCCGGCCGTCCCAAAATCCGTATCCGCCACCACGCCAAGACCCTAGGCGCACCGAGGTGGGGCCCCGGGCTCCCCAGTCGCGCAGACTGCGCGGGCCTGAGACCGCTGAGGAGGCCGAGGGCCAGCACAGGTCCCCCCGTGGGGACGCACAGCCCAGAGCAGGGGGGTACAAAAGGACACAACGTGGGTTTCTAATCCAAACGCACTTCTCTTTATTCAAACCAGGGTCAAACTGGTCAGTGGGGACCCCTGAAACCACGTGCGCGGGAGAGCGGCTGACAAGGCCTCCTTGTCCCTGCTGCTGGGGCGGACGCGGGGCGGCGCCGGCAGAGGCTGGGTGGGCGCGGCCCCCACAGCGCACCCGCAGACGGCGCCGGGCAGGTCAGTCGACAAAAGCAAGGAATAAACAAAAAACAAAACACGCTCAGTAGACGTCTTCTGTAAGCTCCCGGAGTTTCTGGGCCAGCGAGCCCCAACCCTCAAAGCCAGGAGGGAGGCACTGAACACGCCCCTCACTGCCACCAGTGCCCACGGAAACCCTGCTTTAAATTAAAAAATAAGCCAGTATACATCGTAGAAAATTTCTCTTAAAAATCTCACAATTTGTAAATGTATATTTTTTTTCTTTAACATAAAAGTTTACAATATACGGTAAAACAAAAGGCTCAGGAAAATAATTTCAAAAAAAAGGAAGAAAAAGAAACCTGAAGTTTTGAATTAAAGCTGAAGACATTTTTTTTTTAACCCTGTTGTTGAACCAGTGACTTTTTTTTATTGTGCTGATGGGTTAGAGAAAGAAATATATTTAAAAACTTCAGTCCAGACACCCACAGCCGCCTCCAAAAGCCTCTCGCCCCCCTCCCCCCACCGTCGAGTCGCTATTTTTCTGCCAAGTTTGTGATTGTCACGAGTTCACAAGTTCTAAATCCTGGGTCTCAGCCGCCCCGGCGTCCGCAGGGCACCGGCCGGCTAGCGTCGGTACGGGTGGAATCCCTGCACATTGTGGTTCTGACCTCGTCCAAAGCCACTGCCGCCGGCGGGGGGGCCCCCCGAGCCTGGCACCGAGGGGCCCCCGTAGGAGGGGGGCTGCTGGCTGGGGTCTGAGAAGCCCTGTCCAAAGCCAGCCAAGTCCTGTCCGTAACCTGCAGGGAAAAAGCCCAGTGAGCCGGGGGCGGGAACGCAGCTCTGCGCCGACAGCCTAGGAGGGGTCCACGCCCGCACAGCCCATCCTGCTCCCCCACAGGACCCCGACCGCTGTCTCCGCACAGAAGGAAAAGTAGCTCAGAGACCTCGAGGAGCCCCCTGGTCTGTCCCATCCATCCTCGGCCTTGCCTCCCCCCCCCCATTCCCAAGGACCCGGGGCTGGGCCCTAGCAGCCCATCTGAGCCGCTGGAAACCTTTGAGCTTGGAGACGTGAGAGCACCTGGCCTGGCTCGGTGGCCCGAGGGCTTCTAGAAGTTTACTTTTGAATGGAATGCATGGGGAACTCAGACACAGCCCCCAGAATTTAAGAAAATGTCAGACTAGACTAGCGCCAGGCCTCCCCCCGCACCCCCCCCGGATGCCCGCCAGACCCGAGACAGTCCTCCCCGCAGAACTGACCCAAGCTGGCAGCTTCCATAGAACCGGCGGGTGTGGGGCAGGACTGCGTGCCCAACGCCAGGCCGTGAGTGCCTCATGGCGCCATGCCCGCAGAGACTGCCTGGGCTGGGCAGGTCCCTCCTCCAAACAGGACCTAGACCCTGCACTGCTGACCTCTAAAGGCATGGGAGGCGCTTTCTGGAAAGGGGAACGGCACCAGACTGCACACCCAGGATGAAGGCATGTCCCGGGGCCCCTGGGTCCCCAGTAGGGGGTGCATGAAGGCACGGGGTGCCTGTGTCTGCTGCCCAGCAGAAGCAGAGCTCCTGGGGCCATGGGGCCGTGGCCAGTCGAGATCCTCGCCCCAGCAAGGGCCCCGTCCCGAGGGCACCGCCAGGTCCACCCCCGCCCAGGACGGCAGAGGAGGCGATGTCCGTTGCCCGGGTGCAGGCAGAGTGGGGATCGTGGATGAGGAGGTGCCACCTACCTAGGCCACATCACTGCTCAGCCTGACCATAAGAGTGTAAACAAAGTATGGGCCCGAAGCCTGATGGGTCTTGAGAATAGGTACCCAGGCCTGGCAAGAGACGAGACCAGGGTGACTACCCCAGGGCAGCCTCAGCAGAGGGGCGGGGCCACGCTGGCGGTCAGCACCCCCCCACCCAGGGCTGCTCACGGGCGCCAGACACAGCAGGAAGTGCTCTGGGGCAGGGGTGGTGGTGGTGGTGGTTAAAAACCCATGTACTCGGGGAGCGCTGCCGGGCACGGCGCCAAGGGGGCGAGACTGCACGGTGCTGGGCAGCCGGGAGCATTCAAGGGCAAGAACAGCTTCAATTTGCAGACACTGTGGTCTTGGGCCAAACAGTCTGAACAACGAAGTGGGAAGAGAGCAGAACCCTGGGAGCCCTGGCGACAGGCAGCCCTACCCGCGTGGCCGAGCAGAGGCGGCGGGAGACCCCCGGACACTGGGCCCAACCCTGTCCTCACATGAGCTCCTCCCACACAGGCCACAGGTCGCCACCCTGTAGACCCCAGGCTCAGAAGCACCTCCTCCATGACCAGCCCCTCGAGTGAAGCACATGGTAACACCCAAGCCCGTGCCTGCCACCGACCAGAGCCACGAAGCCACGTGGCCCACAGGTGCCCACCCTGCGCTCTGCACGCGGAAGAAAACGAGACAACCAAGGAACAAGGCCTGCCAGGGGTGCCCCAAAAGCCCTCGCGTCATCCTCCTAGGGGCCCCGTCACAGCTTCGGGTTCCCGAGCCCACGCAGCCTGGACACCTGCTACACGATCGATGCTTTTCTAAGACTAGCTCCCTAGCCAAAACCCGAGACACCAAAATCTTGCTTTTCATTTCGCTTGACCCTCTGCAACAAGCCCCTGCACAGCAGGCCTCCCGCCACATTCCTGCTGGCAGGGAGGAAGGCAGGAGATGGTGGGGCCAGGCCCTGGGCCCCAGGCCGCACCTGCAGGTCTCCAACTCACCGTACTGACTATAGGGGAAGTCCGGCTGGGCCGTTGGAGGCTTGCTCATGTCCGGGGCGGCCTGAGATGGGGGCGGAGGGAAAGCCAGAGGTGCTGCCCCTGGAGTAGCAGGTGGAGGAGGGACCCCCGGTGGGGCAAACTGATCCGGTGGTGGAGGTGGAGGCCCATAGCCAAAACCTGCACACAAACAGGAGAGGAAGACACAGACACGGTGCGCGACCACAGCCCAGCCCACCAGAAGCCGCCGCACCATTTCCTGCTGAAACCCCCCGAGCGGCCAGGCCTTGGGGATGTCCCTAGCGTGGGCCTGGGGTGGCCTGTCACACCCCCAACAGCGAGCGTTCGGCAGGGATCCCACAGACAGCGGCTGCACTGGCGTCCTCTTGAAAAGGATAAAACCCGCCTGCCAGACACAGCGCCAACCTTCCCTCACGGCATGGCTTCCACTCTGTCCTGGGGGTCAACACCCCGTTTCTATCCACCCATCTCCTGGTTACAACTAGAATCAGGTGTGGTCCAGGCCAGGGTGAGGGGCCATACAGCTGTCCTGGGGCCTGACCTGCGCGGGGTGCACTCCGACAGAACACACCCAGAGCCCCAAGCACCTCCCAGCAAGAGCGCGGGACTGTCTCGGCTGGCCGCCCGGCACTCATAATGACAGCGGTCAGCCGCAGTGCGTCAGGCGAGGCCGCAAGGCCACCTTCCTACCAAGGGCGAGCACGGAGCCTTGCAGGCGTGCTAGCTGCCCAAGGCCCAGGTGCCACGCCACAGAGCCCAGCACAGACGAGAGCTCCTGACGCGCTCGAGCCCCTCACTGCCGAGTCCCACCATCAGATCCAGATGCCCCAGCGAGGGGGCACACTTCCCTCACACAACAGGCGTGCCACCCCCACGGCCCCACAAGCAGACGGACCAGGGCAGGCAGCGCCCCAGCCGCGAGCCCCAAGCAAGTGCCAGGCATAGGGTGCAAGGATGCATGTCAGGATGGGCGCCCTGCCCCACCCCAGGGGCCCGCAGGACTTACTGAACTGTGGGGGGGCACCGTAGCCCTGTGGGAAGCCCTGAGGAGGGGGGAACCCTCCAGGAGGGGTGGACACGATGTAAGAGGTGAACGGTGGGGGCGGTGGGGGCGCTCCTCTCCCTGCAGGCGGCGGTCCGTAGCCACCTGGAACACAGGACGCAGAGGTGGGTGAGGGGGAAAGGGTGGGGCACACACAGCTCCCAGTGCCCAGGCCCCCCAGGGGCCCACCCCATTTCAGATTCTGTTCTCTCTCGGATACCCACAAAGAAGGACTTACCAATTGCCTGTCCTGCTGGAACCCACATTCCTAAACAGGAAAACAAAGAGAGTGGTTGGTGTCCCGTCCATGTCCCAGACTGGCAGCTGACCCACCCCCAACAGCACTTGCTCTGCTGGCAAAGCCCTCCTGGAAACACAGTCCCGGGGCCTGGCGTCCTGCCGCACTGTGGGCACAGGGAGGACGTCCCAGCCCGAGGAAGGCATCCGAGGAGCCCGTGGTGGATCAGGAACACAGGCACCTGGGTACGGGCAAAGGGCTGCCACTCACATCCTGCTTCTACAGGAGAAGGATCCCCAAGAGAAGCCTGTTGGTCAGGTGGCCCCGGCTCTTAACAGAACCCATCAGAAAGGGTGAAGGGGGGCGCCCGGGCGGCTCAGTCAGTTGAGCGACTGCCTTCGGCTCAGGTCATGATCCTGGAGTCCCGGGATCGAGTCCCGCGTCGGGCTCCCTGCTCGGCGGGGAGTCTGCGTCTCCCTCTGACCCTCTTCCCTCTCGTGCTCTCTATCGCTCATTCTCTCTCTCTCTCAAATAAATAAATAAAATCTTTAAAAAAAAGAAAAAGAAAGGAAGGGTGAAGGGGACACCCACAGACTAGGGGCTCAGATGCACAGGTGGGACCTTAGGCTGGGTGGTGGGAGCCCTGGGCTGGTTACCAGCCAAGAGCTTCTGGTCTCAGTACCTGGTCTCCTACGGCTGGTTGTCCCCCTCCCCCGCCCCCGGCACAAAGATTTTATTTATTTTTGAGAGAGAGAGAGAGTGAGCGTGTGCACAAGCAGGGGGAGGGGCAGAGGGAGAGGGAGAAGCAGGCTTCTTGCGGAGCAGGGAGCCCGATGCGGGGCTGGATCCAGGACCCTGGGACCATGCCCTGAGCCGAAGGCAGACGCTTCACCAATTGAGCCACCCAGGCGCCCCTGGCTGTGTTTTATTTTGTGAAAAAATATTTTTAAAAAGACCAATCTGCAAGCTTTGGGGGCAGTGCGCCAGGTGCCTCTGGGGCCAGACAGACCCACGTGGCCTCCTCTGGGCCTCCTCGGACACTGCCCCTTCTCTGTGTTTCTAAAGGAGGCGGAGGCTACCAGATCCTGCGTCCTGCGGCCCCTGGGAACCTCAACCCTTCTGCCAAGCTGTCCTTAACCACTCTCCTCACCCTTCACAGAGGCCCTGACAGCCCAGAGCCCAGGGAGCAGGAGCAGATTCAGAGGGCCCAAGAGGCCGGCCAGGCCCACTTCCCACTCTGAGCTCAGCGGTGCAGCACTTGCTGGGGGCAATGGCGGCCGTGACGCACTCCACGACCCACGACCCACCAGGTCCTCCTAGCCTCCCCCTAGAGGTAATGCCCGGCACGGCCGCGGGCCACATGCGGCATCCGAATGTTCCCTCGGACCTACGTGGCCCTTCCTCCACAGCACGGCACGTGGGGCAAGGACGCTCGCGGCAGCTCTGCTGGCCACAGTGAGACCCGTCTGCCCAAACCACAGCTGGGGAACTTGGCTGTGGCCCAAGCACACCACCCAGGGTCACACCACGCTCAAGGTGGACCAGGTGAGCACAGGGAAACTAGCCCCTTTCTCATCTGTGAGCTGACTGGACAGCGACCCTCTGGGGGTTTGCTGGAAGGTTCCGGCGCTAACGGGTACCCAGCACAGAGCCCACGTGCTGGCTACTGGAATGAACACATAGCTGTGTGTGTCGACCTTGGGGCTGGACAGGGAGGGAGCCCCACCTCTGCCTTCATGCACTCCCGCAAAGGCCTGCACACCTGTCCAGCCAGCACGTCCCACCTCCGCGGTGAGTCTGCAGGAAAAGGGCGTGTGCGGCTGTGGGGAGCTGCCGCCCCTCAGGCGTGGGACCCTGGCCTCCAAGCAGGCCTCCCCGAGGCGGCCGTCTGGGGGCACAATCGGTTCTGGGTGCTGAAGCCTTACCTTGCGGGCCGTATCCTTGCTGCCACGTGGGTGGGGGCTGGCCTGCCCAGCCATTGGCGGCATTGGGCACAACCCGGCTGCCCCACTGGCTGGCACCTGGTTGTCCCGGCGCTTGGCTTTTGCTGTCCCGTGGCTCAGCTCGTTTAACTTCCACCTAGACAAATGAAGCTCTGGTTTAGGGAGATGCCGAGGGTCCTGGACCCCCTTCCCTTCAGACACACCCTCAGATAACTTACGACTACACTTAGCATCTTACGACTTAAAACTAAATACTTAACTATAAACCTTATTTAGGCCAGTATTTTTTTTTCTTTAAAAATTTATAATTTTCCTTTTTCTTTCTTTTTTCTTTTTTGCTTAAAACATGTTTCTCAGGTACAACAGATGCAACCATAAGACATGTTAAGCCCTACCCACTGCAGAGCACGGACCGAAGGCCAAGGACCCTCAGAGTTTTGTGTGACAAGGGTCTTTCAGTCAAGGTGAAATGACAGCTTTCTCCTTCGATGGCCTCGTCACCCTAGGGACACAGAGACCAGGACCAACGAACAACCACAGCCCTCTCCCCAGGCCTCTCCAGGGCCCCAGCGTGGCAGGAGCCGGATGCTGTCGGAGCACCGGGGTGGAGGGGGGACCTCCGCTGGGAGGAGCCAGGCCGACAGACACACAGGACCTTTCCAGAGGCCACCCACCCTGCCTGCGCTTTAAGCTCATACCTGAGAAACACAGTTGGTTTACTTAGGTTTTTTATTTAAAATGTCTAATGGAAGATAAAGACTTACCTTCCCCAGGCTAACGCTTAAAGAATCTCAATTAACTCAAAATAATGTCAGAGGGAATGGATGTGATAAAGAGAATCTTACATTACATCTAACAAAAAAAGTAAACAAACATGCAATAAAATGGACATTTGAATCAGTAAGCAATCTTCATACTGTGTTAGGTCAGCAGCCCAGGACCCTGCCTCTTTTGGACGTTGTCGGGAACCACAGCACTGGGAGGGGCCGGGGCAGCGGGAGTGACCGTGTGTGCCCTACCAGCACCAGGCGCTGTGGCTGCCAGAAGGCTCCCTCCCTTACGCAGCTTTTAAGATGCGGGCAGACTGACAACCCGAAATCCCCCAATTACAGGGCTGCCTCAGCACTGGAATCTCCAGTTGTTTGTTTGTTTGTTTGTTTGTTTTTTAATGATAAATTTTAATGGGAAGGAAGAGACAATAAATCCACTTGGAGTCATCCTTGGGGTCTCACAGTCTGGTGAGCTAAGCATTATGCATTCAGAATTCCATCAGTTCTGCCTTAAGACCCCTTCCTGTTGGAGAACAAACAGGAAGTGGGACATCGGCACAAAGACCCCACCTTCCTGATGCCCCAAGGACACTCCACGGATAGGAACAAAATCCCTGTTAGCTCAAGGCGATGTGACAGCAGGACCAAGGGACCCATTTCAAAGAACTCAAATTCATGAGTCTTCACATACGCTCCTTAAGGGAATGTGGTTCCTGCTTACAAAGCAGAGCGGCCCTTGTCAACTTTTTTTCTTTACCGTCTTCCTCTCAGAACACGGACGCAGCCCCTGGCACTACGGTTTTAATTAGAAGTGGGGCCCAGGCCCCTCATGGAGGCGAACCCCCACCGAGGAACCGAGGGGCTGCTGTGGCCTGCCCGCCAGTGAAGGTCGGGCAAGGGGAACAGGGCGAGGCCGGGGGTTGCTGCCGGGAGCTGGGCTCCCACACGTGTGCACCTTACTTTAGAAGTCGAGCCCCACACCGAGAAGCCACCTCAGTCTCCGCTCTGTGCTCCGTGCAGACCGGACTCAGACACCGATGCGTCCTACAAAACTGGGGCGGGGCCAGCCGCCTGAAGATGGAGCAGATCCGTGCGCTTAGCGGCCTTTCTGCCCCTAGAGCAGGACAGGCTTCCTCCAAGTTTTAAATGTCACAGTACCTTAAAATATTGAACGTGGACTCCTTTGAACTTGTGTTCGTAACTGGCATGCATCCTTGAAATCTGCATGCTAATTTTAAACTAAAAGCTTCAATGAACGTCGGAGCGAGATTTGTGTCTGCTGCTTAGTCAGGTTCAAATGGAATTAATTAAGCCTGCAACAAAACCTCAGCCACCTATATGTAACAACAGCTCCATGCACTGCTGTGTTCATCAGCTTTCAGGGACGGGCTGTGGGGCTGGGGTGAGAGCGCTGGGGAGGCAGCAAACTCGTGGTGCCTTAGTCCCGCCACGACGTTGTAACTGACAAAAATGGCCATGGTCCCGTCCCAAGGGCAGGGCATGTCAAAGGGCACAAGGACGTGCTGCCTGTGTGGCACCCACGGGGACCGCCAGGGTGTGCAGAGCAAGTTTCAGAAGGACGGAGACAAGAATCCTGCAAAAATGTGGGCCCAAAGCCTCTTGCTAACTCTCAGGGATCCCCCACTGCAGAATTTCTACCAGTGATTCGTTTTAGAGAGCTCTGGGGGCCCCAGTAAAATGAGGAGCAGGGGCCACGTTCTGAGCCAGCCCGTCTCCGTGGCGGCAACACAGTATGAAGATGAAACCAGAGGTCACTTGACTGCATGGAGTTAAATACTACCGAGAGCATGTGGTGGGGACTGGAGTTTCACAGTAAGTGACCCAAGTAAAAAAAACCAATCCTTCAGGATGTTTACGTCTCTTTCGGTTTGACACGGAACCTGTGGTCAAAGGTCCGCTGCCCACCACACATCATGGGGCGGCAGGAGGCAATTGGAATGCAGGACAGACATCTGAAGGAGTGGTCACTGAAACCAAGCCTGAGGCAACCTGCAATTTCACTGGAGGCCAGCCCAGGAGGCCCCCGCAGACCGTGCCCCTCGGCCAGGGGGCCACCCCACCCACCGGTCCCCGGTGATCCAGAGGGAGGGGCTCCGGGAGCAGAGCTGGCGAGACGGGAGACGCCACGCCACAGGCAGAACCCCTCAGGCAGGGAGGGCCCCTTGCTTCTGCAGGAGCAGGCCCAAGCCCACACAATACAGTGCCCCAGGTCGACTCGCCCGGCCCTTTTTCTGTTCAGGAATTGTCGTTTCCAGTGAAATCCCTAAGTTGCCTAAGACTTGGTTTGGTCTTAAGGTAAAATAAAACTACAACTACACACTTTTTTGCCCATGATGTCGTGAAAATGCATGTTGACAGCCTGGTCCACTGATTGTTCGTCCTCGAAAGTAATAAATCCAAAACCTAGCCAACGACGAAGAGTGAATCAAGGTAGCAGGGCGTTGTGACACAAAACAGGATGATGAACAGTATCAGGGCCGGGCCGAGGGGTCGTCCAAGGGTTTCAGGGAAGCGGAGTATGTGAGGCTGCAGGGCGGGGCCCGAGCCGGTGATGGAGGCAGGGTTCCACGTGGAGACACGGTGGGAACCTCCAGGGGCTGGCCTCACAGACAGGGGCAGCCTGGGCAGGAGAAAGGCGGGGGCCTGGCCCATGAGCAGGCCCAGTGCGCCCGGAGTGTGCCAGAGCACTCTGTGGAGGGGGCCGCAGCGCACCCCTGCAAGCAGGGCAGCGGGCCGCGAGCTCCACCTCCGTCGGGGTGTGTGCCGTGGGTGCGCGGCTGCTTTTCTGAAACCCGAGATTCTCCCCCTCGGCTTGCAATTTGCTTTGCAACTAGTGCTGACAGCAGCCATATATTGTTCTAGCGCGTTAAACAGAAGTACGGTCTCTACACAGTTAGTGCCTCGCTAAGCTTATCCAACACCGTTGGGTAAGCCCAAGGAGTCCTGTCAAAGGAACATACGTATGTATACAGGTATCTATCTGTACGCATCTATGTAAATAAAATACACAAAGATACAGGCCACAACGGGTTCCAGCAGGTCAAACTCTGCTGTCAGCAGCAAGAGCAAGAGGCACCATGTCATCAAAAAGAGAATTTTAAAGGGAAAAAAAATTTAGCATTTCCCAAACACAAGAAAGTGGCAGTATAAACGAAGTTTGGTTGGTCTGGGTGAGTGTGACTGCCCAGCTAAGGTGGCATGTCTGGTCCTCAGCCGACTGCACTGTCTCCCCGGGGCCCATCTGCTCCAAGCACAAAAGGACGCGTGCGGCAGACAGCTGCCGGAAGACCCGGGAGAACAAAAGACGGGTGCGGGGAAGGGCTGAGCGCCCAGACCGGGCTGAAGAAGGGCATGGGGTGCGGGCGGGGACAGAGCGACAGAGCATGACACGGCCGATGCAAAGAGCCCAGGTCAGGCCTGCGCCCGACAGGGCCTCCAAGGGCCGCAGGGCCGGAGCGGGCAGGGAGGGGGCACCGGGGAGGAGCAGCCAAGCCCGAGCACTCTCCAGAGGACCGGAGAGGGACACTGAGGTTGCAGGCGCCGGGCCGTGTGGGAAGACTGCAGGCAAAACCTTGGGGTAGGGGGTGGGGGGGAGAAGACAGCTCAGAAACCTGGGGTTGACAGACTAGCGGGGAGGGACACCCGGGACTCAGGAAGCTTCGGATGTGTCTCCGCACACGCGTGTGTCTGAGCGTGACTATGCACACACTCACACAAGAAACTGCACACGGCGTGCGAGAAGGAGCAGAAACGCGGCTGCAGAATGATGACAGCAGGACACAGGAGACAGAAGCTGGAGCCGGGCCGGGGGGCGGGGACCGCCAAAGAGGAAGGTGTGAGGCGAGCAAAGGCAGCGGCCAGGGTGAGGGGCGCGGTCAGGGCCTCACCGGCCCCAGTGAGACACATGCAGAACCCCTG